CCCTGAGCTGGGGCAGAGATAGGAGCTGGGAGGACTCCCATAGGGACTGGATCCCTCAGCCTTCCCATGCCGGGGGTCTCCCTGTCACCTGAGGGGGCTCAGCTGCCATTTTGGGAAAGCCAAGAGGGGCTGAGTTGTTTTTTTTCCAATGGGCTGGAAGGATACAGCACTGAGAGTGGGCAGGGAGGTGACACTCACCAGGGTGATGTGGTGGTTCAGGGTGAGGGGGCACAGGGTGGGACTCTGGGGTGCTGCACTGGGGCTCAGCAGTGCCAGAAAACCCCTGGTCTGTGGTTCGGGTGGTAGACTGGAGCCACTGAGTCACTGGAGCAAGTTTATTGGATGCAATGGTTAGTTCTTAGCAACTAACCATTGCAATGAAAGCAATTTAGCTCTGCTTCATCCAAGCCAGCAAACGGCCCCACACCAGGGCTGGGGCTGAGTATGCTCTGGAATGGCCCCTCACAGCCCCTCACCACCCCACAGGGCCCCAACCACGGCACTGGGGACCGCACAAGAAATCCCCACCCATGGCCTGACCAAGCTCACCCATCTCCCTTGGGCTGGATGATGCCGTGGCTGGGTTTTCCAGGGAGGGATGCACGGGCAGGATTGCGTGGCCGTGGCCCAGGGCTGGCTCCCCAGACAGCGCTGCCACGCTGCTCTTCAGCGGCTCTGTTCTATCATCGAATTTTAATTTAGTTAGTTGAGTTCTTTAAACAGTGTGAACTTGCTAAGTGCTTTGCATATTTTATACTCATGAGTAACATTTATCAAACAGAAAGTACAATTAATCAAAGAGGGGAGCGTTTGTAACTTGGAGCGGTTTGTATTCTCTCTCTTTTCCTCGCTGCTGTACCTTTCCTCCGTGTCTCCCTCCTCTTCCTCTTCACTGCCCTGCACTGGCCAGGGAGCCAGGACATACATACTCCCTCTCTCTCCCTCCTTCCCCTCACCAAAACCTGTACACCATACAAACACATTAAAATGTTTTTTATATAATGTATGTATGTATGTATGTCTATACATCTATAAATCTATATCTGTGTACCTGTATATATGCATATACCTATATATATATGCTTATCTGGTATACAAATATATGTGTATATATGAATAGTGTACATGGGATGCTGTATATATAATATGTGTAGGAATAAATGGTCCATTTACACTATATATGTATATATATACACATATGTACACAATTATATTCACAATATTATGCACACATTGTGTATATATATATATGGTCTTTATATACATAGTATTTATATATATTCACTATACACATTATCTATTAGCTGCAGTTTATAGTCTATCACATCTATTATACTACATATATTAAATATGGGGTTTATATTTTGGGCTGCTGGGGGCGTCAGCAGTGTTGGTGTAGTGCTGCAGCCTCCTGACAAGAGCCAGCAGCCAAGGGAGTGAGGTGGGATGGACAGTCCCAGCCCTGAGCTGTGCTGGGTGGACACCTGGCCAGCAGAAGTGCCTGACCAGCTCCAGACTGTTTGGGGACAGCGACCAGTGGCTGGTGACAGGGACATGGGAAGCCCTGACAAGGGCAAGAGTGTGGCTGCAGCCCCCCAGCCCCTGTCCCCTCTCTTCACTAGGCACTTGGAATGAGGTCAAGACCAGGACTGCTTCTGGAACAAACAGTAAAGGGACAATGACCTCTGTCCCCAAGGCATCTGTGTTTAAGGGCAGAATCACCCAAACCGTGTCAGCTTTTGGCTACAAAGGCCCTTGGGCAACCCGGGTGAAGCCCCTGCTGGTACCTGGAGAAGACTGGCACCAGTGCTGGAAGATGAGAGGTGACAAAGGGACCCATGTCTCTGCTGTGTTTCTGAGCGCCTTGGTGGCTCTTGGCAGAGCATGGAGAAGCCCTGACCTAATTTATTCTGACTTCCCAAGCCTTGGCCATGGCACAGCAGAGCTGGCTGAAGGAGCTGAGCAAATGTGGACACGGGGGCAGGTTTGGCCAGGGTTGAACCCTGCTGCCGAGGCAGAGCAGAGGAGATGGGAACATCCCCCGTGGTTCCCAAGAAAGTACCTCAGGGCTCTTCCCATGGCCTTGGAGATTTCAGTGCTCTATTAATTGCCATTAATGGCAGCAAACGGGGCAGGAGGTGCCCACCTGGACCTGGGTTAAACAACACCGAGGGAAGGGCAGTGCCAGCACTGCAGGACCTGCCTTGCAAATCACCTGCAACAACATGTGCTGTCCTGGTCACCTCTTCTCAAAAATGATAGTGCAAAATTAATTAGAATTAATTAATCAGAAAAGGGTAATAAGGGTGATTAGGCACCTGGGGAAAAGAAAAAAAAAATATTCCTGAAGAGCAATCGCAGCACCATGATTGCCTTGGAAGGTGGCGAGTCAGTGGGAGCAGGAGGGAGGGCGTGCAGGGAAACAAATGGGCTGGAGAGAGGGGTCTGGGGGTGTTTTCTGTCTCCTCACACAAGGAATTACTGAGTGACAAGATTGAAACCCGTCAGAGGAAAAGCATTTCCCAGCAGCAGTGACCACGGGGAGGCAGCTGAGCCCAGGAAGGCATGGGCAGCTCTGCGGCGGCGTGGCTGGAGCTGTGGCTGCTGCTGCCACTCTTTTTTGCAGATTTGGCTTTGCACAAACTGGCCCCACGGCTGGACCTGTCTCCAGCAGAGAGTGGGACTCAACAGGGAGTCCTCAGTGCTGGGACCCTCATCCCCAGCTGGGCTTAGAAACATGGCACGTTCAGGGACACTCAGTTTAGTTTTTCCTTTTAATTTTCAGCCACATTCTGTTACCTTAACGAAATTAATAACAATAATAATATAAAAGCAAAGGAAACATTTGCAAACAAGATCTGCCCCTCAGCTAAGGCAAGTTTCATTGTAACCTGAGGGGCCAAAGCAGAGCCCCAGCCCCTGGAGGGGATGGCAGCACCATTCCCTTCCTGCCATCATGAAGGATTTTGGCAATAGAGAAGGATGGAGGAGGTGGCTGGGGCTTAATGGAAAGAGTCGTCAGGAGCCCCAGTGCAGCTCAGTGAAATAAAGGAGAAAAGTGCCTTTTCTTGGGGAAGCAGAGGCAGCAAATACTGCAGGCACCATGGAAAACATGTGGCATGGATGGGATGCAGGTGCCCATTGCCTGCTTGAAAACACAAGTGACAACTGGAGCAATGCAATGGCTGCTGGCAGCTTCAGTGAGGGGAAAACTGGTGGGTTTGGGGCATTCAGGTGCCTGTGCATGGGGACAGTCACCCCCATGCACCTCCCAAACACCCCTCCTGCCTGTGAGCAGCGAGGTGCCACCACCCTGTGCTCAGTGTCCCCTCCCTGGTGACAAAGAGCCTTGTTTCTTTAAAACATGAAAAACAAACTGCAAAAAGCAGTGCTTTTTGTGCACAGAGATGCTCTTACTGTGTCCCCTGCTCTGCAGTTGACTAAACACACGCTCCTGGTGTCAGCACTGGTGTGACCAGCTCAGGTCACTGCTGTCCCCAGCACACTCAGACCCTTTCACAGGGACTCAGGGAGGCCCAAAACCTGTCCCAGGCTGATGTTTGTTTGCCAAGATGTGGGGACTCCATCTCTGCATATGTCCCATGGCAAGGGGCTCTATCCCTGAGGCCACATCTAGGTTGTGCCATGGATTTCTGGATGGCCATGGGCTGAGCAGCTGTTTTGGGGACAGCAAGACCTTGTTTGGGCCATGAGGACATTTTGGGAGAGGTAGGTGCTGGGAATGGGCCCTGCTCCCCCTGTGCCCATGCAACATTGCTCCTCTGGCCACTGCCCTCTGACAGCTTTGGGTGAATTCCAGCAGATTTTGTCCCTACAGGTTTTGTGCAACTCTGTTTCTGGGGAGGATGAGGGAAGGACTCAGGTTGTAGACAGCAGAGAATCCACACCAGCCGCCATTCCCCACAGACACAACTGTAGCCAACCCAGCGTTGTCACTGTCACTGTCCCCACAGCAATCCTCTTCCAAAGGCCTTGGGCACCCCCAGGTCCCGTTAACCCTGTCCTGCTGGGGTGGGGGTGCGGAGGGGTAGTGTGAGACCCCAAAAGGGGATGGTGTGAGCTGCACTGCGGAGGGGACACAGCTGCGCCGAGCCCTCAGGCCTCAACTCCCCACGGGCCCGGCGGGAGCAGGCAGAGAGGGCACGGAGAGCTGGGGGCGCTCGGAGCAGCGGGATCAGTGCCCGCACTGGGCACAGGGTGGGCACAGGTACGTGAAGGGGCATGTGAGGGGCCAGGGCTGGAGGTGTCAGTCGGTACCGGGGAGTGTCGGTGCTGGGTTCTGTGGGTGCCGGGCTCTGTCAGTACCGGGTGTGTGGGTGCCGGGGTGTCAGTCGGTGCCGGGTGTGTCGGTACCGGGTGTGTGGGTGCCGGGGTGTCAGTCGGTGCCGGCTGTGCGGGTACCGGCTGTTCGGTGCCGGGGCACAAGCGGGTCCCGCTCCCCTCAGGACGCACCGAAGTTCCCGCGGCGCAACGGCGGGACAACAGCGCCCCCTGGCGACCGGGACGGGACCGGGACAAGGACAACGGCGGGACAGGAGCGGCAGGAGCAGGAGCCGGGACGGGGACACGCGGGCAGCCCGGCCAGGATACCCCCGTGGCTTCTTGTTCTAGGGACCCCGGTCCCGTCACCCCGGTGCCTGCCGGCCGGGCTCCCTTGGTAGCCTGTCCCTCAAGAACCGCGCGGTACCCGCGGGCTCTCCTTGGGCTGCCCGGTCTGCCCCAGTCCTCCCCCGTCTGTTCCAGATCTTCCCAGTCCGTCCCAGTCCGTCCCAGGCCATCCCACCACTGACCGCCCCCGGCCCCCGGCCCGGAGCGCCCCCGCGCGGGCAGCAGTGGGAGAGCAGGGCAGTGCCCGCCGGTGGCGTCACGGTGACGTCACGGCCACGCCGCCGCCTGGTTGGTCCCCGCGGCCGCCCGTCCCGTGGGGGGGCAGCGCGCGGCCGCCGCCGGAGGTAACGGGGGGGCCCGGGGGTCGCAGCCGCGGCCCGAGGGAGCGGCGGCACCGGGCACCCCCCGGCACCGCCCGGCACGCCTCTCCACGGGCCGCGGCCGCGAGGGGGGCCGGGAGGGGCCGGCGGAGCTGCCCGGGCCGGATCCGGGATAGGGCTGCACCCGGCGGCCCGCGGGGTCCGCAGCGCCGCGGGCCCGGAGCGCGGGGGGGCTCAGCCCCGGTGAGCGGGAGGCGAAGGGGCCGGGTCGGGCCTTGCAGCGGGGACCGCCCCCTCGTACCGCATAGGGCTGCTGTGACAGCCCCGGGCCCGGGACGGGACCCCCGGGCCCCCAGGGCGGCACAGCCACAGCCCCTCGGCTTGGGGACCCCCGTCCCCTGCCGCTCCCCGGGCTGCCAGCGGCCCCGGGGCTCGGGCCAAGGGCCGCACACTGAGGTGACCCCTCCACGCCGTGTGACCTTCTCCCCACGGCTGCGGCGTCCATGGGGCGAGTCCTGGCCTTCGGCTGCCCGCGCTTCCGCGGGCCCCCGCCGCGTTCCAGGGGCCCCTGGGGCGGCAGGAAGGGTTCGGGTTCAGGTTTAGGGTCGGGTTAGAGGGGCTGGGTGCTCTCTGCCTCTGCTGGTAGCCTGTGACACCCTGAGAAATGAGTCACCAGGGACTCACCAAGCCAAACCCGGGCCAAGGAATGGGGTCACTGCCGGGAGGGTGAGCCTGAGTCCCACCCTGTGAGACCAGACAGGAGCACTGCTCAAACTGGAGCGCAGACAGGAGCACAGAAAGAGAACCCTCCATGCGCTGGCTGTACTCGTGGCTCAGCCTCTGATCTAAGGGGCAGCAGCAGCTCCTGTCCCCCAGCCTCCCTGGGAGTGTGCCTGTGGGGCCAGGTGTCTCTTACCTGTGCTTTCCTGGGGCCATGGTCACACTTAGAGGACTAGAGGGGTGATTTGGCACTTAAATCCCATCTTCTCTGCTCCTAGATCACAGCGTAGACCAGCTCCTGAGCCAAACTGGATTTCCACCAGTGACCTGTAAGTTGAGATGCCATGTCCCCCTTTCCTGTCCCTAGGCTGTTCGAGGCCACGTGGGGCCACCAAGCCTGTCTAAGCTGCCATAGAAAAGGTTTTGTGTCTAATGGGGTATTTGCCAGCAAATTCAAGCCATGAACTCTATATATTTCTTTATTTGTAAAGGTGTTTGAAGTCCTTGAATTTACCCTTTGGCCACCTTAAATCTAGTTTCTAATCCCCAGCACAGTTAATCAAATCCACAGTGGTTTGAATTATGAGATGCCTGGGGGGGATTTATAGCTTGTATTGCTGATTATACCTTGACTTTATTATATTGCAAATATCTAACTTATGGTCATGGCTGAGATTTACAATCCTCAGGTAGGTGCTCAGGATAACTTTTAGCAACTCGAGATGTAATTGGAGGTGACTGATGGGGTTGTCGCCACACATAAACATGGAATCTGTAAAATGTTAAGACAGGGAAAGGAGAGGCAGAATAGGTGAAAAGGGTGGGTCAGCCTTAAAATATAATTGTATAATCGCGTGTATTGCTGAGCAAGGCTTTGCCATGCCTGTTCTGGCTGAGGCATCTGCCCAGGGAGGGGTTTTGGGCTTGTTGATCTCCAGAAAATACCAGGATTTAGATATTTGTTCCTTCTTGCTCTCAACTGCAGGTTTTTGTAGTTTGCAGTAGCCCTGGGGAGGGGGAAGGGGTGATAAACAGGTGTGGGGTGCTGGCAGAGCTGACTCATTCCTCGCTGGTTTGGGCTTCTGCCACCCCAGGGGAGCAGTGAGTCCCGTGCGGGCGCGTGCCCTCGGCCAGCATGACCAGCGAGGTGGTGGAGAACGAGTTTGAGTTTTACTCCAAGGCAGAGAAGTACTGGAAGGATGTGCCCCCCACGGTGGATGGCATGTTGGGGGGCTACGGCCACATCTCCAGCATCGACATCAACAGCTCCAGGAAGTTCCTGCAGAGGTTTCTGCGGGTAGGTGGCAGAGTTTGTCATGCTCCTAAAACCCCACCCTTCTCCCAGCGTGGAGCTGGGCTCTTCCCTCTGAATTGTTCCATGGGATGCTCTGTGTGGTTGTCCCGTTTCTCCTCTGTGGGTGCCTCGCAGTGGGACTCACCCCTCACGGTGGTTGTTGCAGGATGGCCCCAACCGGACGGGGACAACCCGTGCTCTGGACTGCGGGGCTGGCATTGGCCGGATCACCAAGCGGCTGCTGCTGCCCCTCTTCAAGACAGTGGACATGGTGGATGTGACAGAAGACTTCCTCACCAAGGCCAAGAGCTACCTGGGCGAGGAGGGCAGGCGGGTGCGCAACTACTTCTGCTGCGGCCTCCAGGACTTCAGCCCTGAGCCAAACTCCTATGATGTCATCTGGATCCAGTGGGTCATCGGTGAGGGTCACTGCTTGTGGGGTCTTTCCAGCCTGTCCCATTCCCTTGAGGGACAGGTGCCCTATGCACCTTCATGCAGCTTTAGGTCTGCATGAAGGATGAGCATCACAGCATGGGTGGGGGCCTGGGGTGGGCAGCTGTCCCCCAGCCCATGGAGGGGCCCTGTACTTTTTCCCCGAGCCCTCAGAGGCCAGAGCAGAGGTGTGGGTTGGACGGAGTTGGGTAGTGAGACACAAGTTGGACACCCCCAAGCTAAAGCTTTCCCTGCAGATGTCTCAAGTGTTTGGTTCCAGAGGGATCCCAAATGCAGCTTCTGTGTTTCCTCCCCTTGGTCACCCTCTTCCCTCTAACCCCTGCTCTGCCCCTCCAGGACATCTCACTGACAACCACCTCTCCGACTTCCTGAAGCGCTGCCGTGCCGGCCTGCGGCCCAACGGCATCGTGGTCATCAAGGACAACATGGCCCAGGAGGGTGTGATCATGGACGATGTGGACAGCAGCGTCTGCCGGGACCTGGACGTGGTCCATAAGATCATCCGCAGAGCTGGGCTGCACCTCCTGGCTGAGGAGCGCCAGGAGAACTTTCCTGATGAGATCTACCACGTCTACACCTTTGCCATGAGATGAGGGCAGCGGGAGAAGGTCTCTCCCGTGTCGTGACTCCCCTTCCAGGGGCTGGTGACAAGGACGGGACTTTGTCTTCCAAGTTGCTGCTGTTTGTGAAAAGAGGTGTTTGCCAAATACATTTTCCTGCTGTTGCACTTCTGCACGTGAGGTTTGTCGGGTGCATGTTGGCTCTGTGCCACCTTCAGGGGCTCTGGACAGGAGCAGGAGGGTCTCCCATGCACGAGGTGATCCATGGGCAGCTGCAGGTTGCTGGCTGCAGAGCACAGGGCTCCTGCTCCTGAACAGGAGCGTGGGGCACCTTTGGCATGGACTGGGCTCCATTCCTTGCTTGGGTGTTTGACCCCTTCCTGCTGCTCAGCAATGAGCTGGGTGAGACAAAAGGGAGAAGCCTCAGCTGTTTCCCTGTGGTGGTGTGGGGAGGCAACACTGGGTTCTGGGGCTTTGAGGGGGCCTCACCTCTAAACCCCTGAGCAGGTCTCGTGCAAGGGCAGCAAAAAGGGAGGAGTGTGTGACCCTGAGTTACACATCCTCCTGCAGGGATAGGGGTATCCCAGACAAAGCCTTGCAACCCTGGGAGTGCACTGGTGTGGTCTGAGCTGCTCCCAGACCCCTCCAGCCTGTCACCTCCAGCTCCATGGCTGTGACACTGCTCCCCCAGCACCCCACACCATCACCTGGCATCTCCTCTTTGGCCATATTCTCTTCATTTACCCAAGTCTGGCCACTGACCTGGCACAGCAGCGTGCCAGGGGTGAGCCCAGGTGCAGAGTCAGCTGCAGCTCGACCCTCCAGCCATCCCCCCATTCCTGTCCTTCACCCCACCTCTCCTAAGGAAAAACAAGCCCCTGTTGTTTTTATAGAAGGCCTCGTTTAATAGTTCAGTTCCCATTCCAGACACCAGGGCAGAATTTGATCACATTACTGGGGTTTTTTAAGCACCAGTTCATCAGGACACATAGTTCCAGTTCCAAATGCCAGTGAATCCCAGATACAGACACATCCACCTGATACAGACTCTCTTTAACCAGAACAGATTTTTCCTCTTCATCTACTCCATCCATCCCCCATGAAAAACAGTACAAACAAACAAATCTGTGTGGGGCTCAGCTCTGTGGCCAGCCTTTGGCACGTCATGAGGAAGCAAGTGCCTAGAAAGGGGAGCCAGGCAGCTGTGGCAAGGCTGGAACACGAGCCCTCCAGGTGCAGCAATTCCTTCTGGGAAGGAGGCACTGGAGAGTAAGACTCTGGGAGTGGTCACCAAGGGAAGAAGCCAAGGAATGGGGAAGGAGGCACAAGGCACTCAGCTGCTGACTGCCCATTCCTCACCCTTGCACAGGGAAGACACCATGATGTTAGGAAACATCCCTTTGTGTGTTTTGGAGCCCAGTAACTCTGAGATGTCCTTGGTGGATGTTCCTCTATGCCAGGATGGGGAGAAGAAACTCAGAGGGCGTGGAGCAGTCAGCCCCATTTCACTCCCATCCCCAGTGTCAGAAACCCACACTGAGCATGGAAGGCATCCACACCCACAGGACAATGCCAGACCTGCTTCCACCACCAGGACCAGAGGCAGGAAAGCCAGAACACCTCTTCCTTCTCCCAGCACCCTGAGGCATCTCTCAACTCCACTGGACACCTAAGGCACTGCATCACCCATGCATGGCAGGGCTGGGAGAGGGGACAGTCTGCCTGTCCACGCACAGCCCCCAAGCCTTTGCTTAATCTCCCTCCAAACCAGCCCCAGTATCCAGCTTCCCCATGCCCTGGAGCTCTGCCTGCCTCCCCATGACATGCCCCAGAGCAACGAGACCTTCACAAACACAATGATGTTGTGCCCAAGAAAACACCCCCAGAATGCCACAGAGAGGGACTCCATGGGCAGCACCTCCTGCTGCAGAGAAAACTGTCTCAGAGCAGAGATACGGTGGCTGTAGGCACAGCAGGGCTGTGGAGGGAGCACACAGAGGCACTGCCAGGCTCACAGGTCCTCGTGCCCAGCAGCAGTGTGGTCGATGAGGAGGTACCACTTCAGCCTGTCTGGGAGAGGCAGAGCCTTGATTTTGTCACCCACTGGCCACGGTTTCAGGCGCTGCCGGATGAACACCCTGCAGAGGTGTTTCAGTGCCTGTGGCGAGCGCTCCAGCTGCTTCAGAGAGCAGAACAGAGTCTGGACCTTCTCCCCATGGAACCTACAGCTGCTGGTGTTGACCTCAAAATTGCTGGGCAGCTGGATGGCTTGTGAACTGGCCATCATGAGCTCCAGCAGAGTCTGACCCTTCTGGATGAGGTCTGAGGAATAGGTTTCATCGTCGAAGCGACTGAGGTGCCAGCAGAGGTGCTCAAAGGCGATGTGGAAGCCGGACCAGCACGAGGGACCATGGAGGGAGCAGTTGTAGGCAGCACCTGACTCCAGCAAGAACCGCAGCAGTGGGAAGTAGTCGCTGAAGCTTTTTAAGCAGAAGTGTGTGAGGGACTCTGAGGCTGGGCACTCGCTGGGGTTGGCACCGTGGGCCAGCAGCAGCTGTGTGACACGGAAGCAGAAGCGCTCGATGTCCTCGGCCTCCTCCTCAGTGTAGCTGTATGCCATCTCTCCCAGCAGGTAGATGACATAGGTGAAGACAGTGTCACCGTCTTTGGTGGCAGCCCTGACATCTGCGCCTGCAGGAAGGGACAGAGAACATAACTGACACTGCAGAGCGTGAGGCCAGGCCAGCACCAACTCCAGCACGCCTGGGCTTTACTCTGACTCCATAAAGGAGTCAGGAAGGCAGTGCCTGGTGCTGCACAAAGATTCAGCCAGCCCAGAAAGGGGAGAATTTTCTTTACCTCCTTCCAGCAGGAGACGGATGCTGTCGGTGTTGTGGATCTGGCCACTGTCACTGCTGGCCAGGGCATGCAGCAGTGCTGTCTTCCCTGCAATGGAGCAATCAGTCAGTCACAGGACAACAGGATGACACCCCAAAAGCCAGGAAGGAAAACAATCCACCCCACCCACCAGACAGCCAAACACAGGGAGTGACAACCCTTCTTCTGGCAGAGGCTTCCACTGTCCCCGTGATGGTGGCCAGATGTGGGGACAGTCACAGGCCACATGTGCAGGGCTAGTGGTGGTCTCAGTGGGTATATGTGCCATGGCAGAGTGAGTTTTAGAGCAAGTGGGCACCACCGGACAACAGAGGCACAGCCCCACCCCACCTCCCCTGGACTGCACTGAGCTAGGTTCAGCCCTTTCACACAGCCAGCACAGCAGGAGAAAATACCGAGTGCAGGGAGGTTCCACCAGCTTCTCCCAACTCCCAAACCCGTCTGTGAGCAGGGAGCAGGTGCAGCAGCAAATGGCCCCAGCCCTGTGCCCTGCCCCAGCCCACCCTCAGCTGGGGGAGCCGGGCAGGGCGCACAGACCGTTCTTGTCAGCGGCGTTGACGTCGGCCCCCAGCTGCAGCAGCCGCCGCAGGCACGGCAACCGCTCGGGCTCCTCGCTGGCCAGGTCCAGGGGACTGCTCTCGTGGATCTGCAGAACAGTTAAAAACAGTCAAAAAACACTGCTAGATATTGTAGACTGTGTCTGCAGGGAGTGCTGCTGGGGTTTTATCTTGGCCACAGCAAGAGTGTCTCTCCAGCCTCCTCCCACACTGCTCCAAGGCAGGGGCTCAGCCAAAGAACCGTGACCTTCTGCCACAGCAGCAGAGCACGGACAGCGGGCACAGGGATGTGCCAAGGGGAAGCAGCACGGCAGGAGGGGAGCAGGAGGGCTGTCCCCTCACAGCAGACCAGCTCAGGCCTGTGGCTCAGCCTGGCCGTGCCAGGAGCAAGGCCGTACCCGGTCTCGGCGGTTGATGTCGGCGCCGTGGTGCACCAGCAGCTCCACCACGTCCGGCTGGTTGCGCAGCACCGCCATGTGCAGGGGGGTGTAGTAGGTGACGGGGTCTGGGGATAGAAACAGTCAGAGAGAACAAAGGGCTTCCCCAAAATGGCCCCAGCGCCTGCCAAGAGTGGAAGGGGACAGCTGGGGAGGGCCCTGGGAGCACAGTGAAAACAGGGCTGTCACAGGCACCCCGGGTCCTGCTGCTCCAATGGCTCCATCCTGCCAAAAGCCCCCGAGTCCCTGGTGTCCCTCAGTCCATCCTTGTGGCTGGGTCTCCACAAGGCACATCCACACTACTCCAGCAAGGAGCAGGAGTGTCTGAGCTGGTAGCACCCCCTCTTTCTGCCCCAGCTATCCCCCCCTCCCTGGGCAGCTTCTCATCTGCTGGCTCCTCCTGGCCCAGCCCCTTTCCCACCAGCCTCACCTTCAAAGCTGAGATCAGCACCAAATTCCAGGAGGATTTCTGCAGCTGGGACGAGCCCCAGCTCAGTGACCTTCAGCAGGGCATAGCTCACACCTTCCTGATAAAATGGGGAGTGGGTCTCCCTCTCCAGGACTCTTCTCACAGCTGAGAGCTGGCTCCTGTCACTGTCCAGGCAGGCAGGGCTTGAGACACACAAAAACCCAGCAGTTACTCAGTGAACATAGCTCAGGTGTGCAAGGGTCAAAGTGGAACCAAGGAAGAAGGAAAATCCCTGGTCTTCCCTCTGCTCCTGTATCCAGTGGGTCTCTGACCCACTGGTTGTGGGGTTACGCAGCAGCCTCAGGGCCTCAGCTGAGCCCCAGATCAGGCTTTGTTGCCTGGGGTCAGGCAGAAAGGGCTGTTCCTGGGGAGCCCCCACATCTCCTGTGTTTGCCTTGCTCCACCTCCACATTCCCAAAGAATGGTCTGTGGGATGAGCTGCTCCCCAGGACTGGGGGCTGTCCAACCCTGGCCACCTCCCTGAGCTCCAACCATCCCCCAAAAACACCCCGGGGTGTTTATCCCCCTGCTCTCACCTCTCCAGGGAGCTCTGCCCTTCCGTGTCAGGCGTGGCCAGCAGCCCCAGGAGCTCATCCACCAGGGGCTGGTACTCCAGGACGATCCTGCGGAAGCCGTGCAGGAAAGGCATGGTGCTCTGGCCCTGCACCCTGCCCGGGGGCTGCAGAACGGCCCCCTCTCCGAGGGGCTCCTCCCTCCCTTCAAAACAAACACGGCTTTCAGCAGGTTTGAATGCAGAAGCAAACACAGCCTCCCCCTCCTTATGTAAAGGCAGCCCAGCCCAGCGC